ATGCACTGGTAGAGAATTAAGAGAATTTATTTAGTCATATTGGGTCATTAATTTTCGTTAAATCTGGCACAGAAAAAAATCGAAGCATAACGTCTCTCCAAAACGTCTGTATTGTTTTCCTACGCCAGCTTAGTGCGTAATTAAGGGCCACCCAATAGTGCCCAATATGGTTTCTAACTATGTATGGAAAAACAAACACCATCACCTTAAATAAAGAAATTCCTACAGCAACTAAGTCTGAAGGATGTTTTTGGTTGCTGGACTTCTTGTATATGAATAATAATTCTAAGATTAAGGCTGTTCCATAATCTTTGTTTTTTTATAACATAGAAAAAATATTTTCAAGAAAATTTAGGTTCTTCAATTTTTGTTAACATGTAATTACAATATGACAAATTTTTATCAGCAAGCCCGTATGGGATGGAAATGATGCTATGTTCATGATTTCTCGCCACACAAAACTACTGGAATCTGGAATAACGCTAATATCACTATAAAATAACTTTTTTGTAAGTGACTTATGACAAATATTTTGTCTGTAATAATGCTATTCTTTCAGGTTTATGTCAGCTCATCGAATACCAGTCTGTGATTAATGCTATTCCCTCAAGGTTTATTTCAGCTCATGGAATACCAGTCTGTAATCATGCTATTCCTTCGGTTTATGTCAGCTCATGAAATGTCATATGGTGTTTCATGATACACTTTGATTAAAGCTTGTAACTAATGCATTTCATATGTTTAGTATTAAGTGTTCCAATAAACATAAGAGAATATTTCAATAGCAAACTAACTGATATACAATGTAGAAAGGCTCAGCCCCTTTAAATTGTGTCAAATAAAGTAAGAGAGGTGCATATAAAGATGTATACAATATGTATCCTTCCATAGAAATGCTGTCAAGATTTACTCACAATGAAAAATGCTCTTTCTGTAATATTGAATGTGAAACATTATTTCATTTATTTTATGACTGTCCATAGACCAGACATTTTTGGAAGAAAATTGAGGGATATATATTAAGTGAAACTGGTAATACTATAAATATTGAATATAAAGATGTTATAACCTATTTCGATTGTACTCTTCTTTAAAATGGACAATCAATGTCAAATCTTGACTGGTAGGTTTCATATCCACAAAGCCATGTTCTCTAAATCGACCCCATGCATGAATGTATTTTTGATAGACTTTAATTCTTTAATTGAGCCTCTTAAGTTATTAGAAAATAAGAAAAGCTTGTCTACTGTTCAGTATTATGTTGAATTATTTCCAGAACGCTAATCATCCAATTGCTTGAATTTCCCTCCCGTGACACCACAAATTGTATTTGTGCCATATTTAGTATGTTTATGTATTCTGTATGTTTAAATCCTAACTATGTTCATAAATGCAATTAATAAAAGAAGAAAAGAAAAAAGAAACGTAAAACCGCCCCATTGGTACAATGCAGAAGCCAGAATAATTGTGGAAATAGCCCAGTGGTTCCCAACCACGGGTCTTAGGACTTTTGGAGGTACTTGCACCCCCCCCTACCCCACAAGCGCTATTTAACACCCATAACACCATAGGATTACTAATACATTCACTTGAAGGCACTTCAGGGGTACTCACAGCAGAGCAACATCCTGTTGCTGGTAAAGTTACTGAACAGGGTTGGAAACCACTGACTTGCAGGAAATAAATGTATCATGGAGGGTTTCCTTTGTGTCCCTTTCATATTTAATAAGGCACCAAATAATTAATTGCAATATCAAATGTGTGGCTTTTGAGGCTCTGCAAAGGGGCTTTAGTTAAACATTACCCCCTATTCATTGAGCTCGTTAATGTCCCTGCTCTGCAGCGGGGCGGTCAAAACGCACACATCAGGAAAATAGTTTGATTGTTTAAAGTCCTTGTTACAGCATTAAAAATTGAACCACTTTTTTAACCAAATACTTTGGGGGCCAGGAGAGGTCGTGGCCAGCCGGCCACATATTGCCCCCCCCTGATTTAAATGGAACTGTAAACCTGTGAATATGCCAACCAGATGACCTACGACATGAATTGATTTTTAAGATAAACTCCTATTGCTCGTTCATCCCATTGACTCACCACTTACTGTGAGCTGAGCTTCTGTGGTCTCTGCCTATTGTGTAGTATGTTGCTATACAGACACTGTTAGATCGAGTCAAATTCGAAGTGTGCAAATGTACTTAGCGGATAAAGCAAATTCTGATTCATCCTCATTTAGTCACGCAGGCATTTCTAAAATGTTAACGGCGGTCAAAAGCTTTCTTCTCCTGTCCTTGAGAGAAACTCAATTGCATGTTGTTTACACATCAGATGTTTTTTGCTCTCCTTTTCAGAACACGTTCCATTAGGAGGTCACAGGTCCTTCCCCTCTAACCGTCTGATCCAATGGCTTTAAAAAAGAGATGATTAGGGGATGTTTGGAATCAAGGAAATTCTATTGAGATTCATCTCTTATTTCGCCAGTCCTCACGTCCCCCTCGAAGCACAATGGTCAAATCTCAGAGAGAGGCTGTGTATGAAGCAAACAAGAAGAGCCTAAATGGGTAATTGACTGCTGATTTAGAAAATACATTTAATTAAGGAAGGAGTCCACAAGCATTAAGGACTTGCTGTAAACCAATTGTCATTTGTGAATACACAGGGTGAAGGCCCATGCTGGAGTAGAAGAGACACACGAGCCGTTCTCTTTATTCCTGCAGGTCTACATGTTTTTTTAAAGAGTATCCTCTTCTGTCTCCGCAACTTCTTTCTCGCGCTTTCCTTTTCTCCCTCAATCTCTCTTTACCTCTCTTAAAGTTTGGCCCAGGTGATCTAAAGCAAATGTTAGCATTCTGGCTTGTTGTTGGTTTTCCCCGCTCTCATTTCCTCTGGCTTGACTGGATGTTTTCAGACCCCACGGTGACACAGAACGCTTTCCTCTGCCAGATTTATGCGGGTAAACTTGGCAGAAGCCTTTCTCTGCAGGCCACAGTAGAAGGTGTTTTCACGAGTGTGTGTGTAGACAAGGCTTATAGTGAAGTGCTGAATATCCCAACAACCTTCTGTCTTGGTCATGATTCTCTAAATTCTCATTACTATATGGCCTCTGGGCTAAAAGTGTTTCAAGATGATTGGTTGACATTCGCCCATGGTAGAGTTTTACATGAGGACTTGACAAACGCGACAAAACACAATAAATGTAAACGCCAGTGTGTCAGAACATATGACACATTTTTCATTCTTCATGCCGTAAGTGTGTTTGTATTGTCAATATGATTTGTTTCATAAGAGCCTTTATGGGAGAAGGTACCGTCAGAAGACTACAGTACACTTGTTTCTAGTAAGCATTTTGAAACTAAATCTAATAAGAGCATTTTTCATTCGTTCATCTGGATACAGACGGCAATCTCATCAAGCCTGTAAAATGTGCAGATATTTAGCTACGTTTATGCTGCTAATTCAGAAATGTATATGTTGGTCATTTAGCACGTGCTCTTACCGAGAGCCTCTAACAGTAGTGAGTGCATAGCCTTCAGGAGAGTAGCGTTCAAGCGCTATGCTTTAGCCTCTGAGCCCCGCTGCTCCATAGATCATCATTGGTGTGAATGCTGTAAAATCACCTCAAGCTAATCATGCTAAACGGTGGACGAGACGAGCAGTGGGAAAAGCCAATCCCTTGCAATCACTATGCAATTGATTGTGACAAATACCTGGTCGCCATCAAAGATTTAATCCTCAGGATGACGTGCTGAAAATTGGCTGCTAATTGTGTGATCTTAATAGCTATTATGTTTCTCGGAAAGTGCAACATTAATTTCTGGGAAAAAAACAGGGTGGCAGTCGAATCCAACAGGTGGCTATGCCCAACTAATTATCGAGCTAATAACCAAGCCAAACTAGAGTGCGAGTCACACATTAGCATTCGAAGGCGTATGCCTGGCTTTGTCACTGATGTGCAAATTAGCCGTCGTTTCAGAAACGCCGGCGTTCAGCAGGCTTTATTAGGACTCCATGGAATGTTCGACAGGTGGGTGACGAAAGCACTCAACGAGGCGAATTGGGTGCTTCAAACAGAGGTATTGGAGGACATAATACACATTTTCATTTTGTGTAGAACACTTTATTTGTATAGTCCATTCAGCTGCTCTGCAAACTATCTAGATGACACTACAGTAACATTTCTACCATCTACTAATCTGTACCCTATGACCGGCTGTAAAGCATCTACAGATGGACTCTCCAGATGACGTGTGGCCAATAAGTTCTGTAATTTTACCCTATTTATACACATTTCTTAGAACTTAGGGATCTGCATGAGGGGAACAGATGGGAAGGTAGGAGTGTATGACTCATGGAATGTAGATGTTTGCTTTACTTCAGGTAAAGTTGACAAGCTATTCATTTCAATTACTAAAGATAATGGAATATGTGGGGGGGTTTTGTCATTAAAAAAGGTTAATTGTGAAAATGTTTACCTTTCATACTATACTGTATGCTTGAATTATTCAAATAAATGTACATTTTAATTTACTGCAAGTACTTTATGTCTGTGTACCTATCGTGTCCACACTGTCCATTTGTTAGTAGATCATTTAGACCAGGGGTGGGCAAACTCAGGCCCGCGGGCCGAATCTGGACGGGCCATCTGGCCTGCAATAGGTATTAAATCAGTTATGAGGGGAGTACAAAATACCTAGCAAGTCCAATTGTCATGTATCTGAATCTGAATTATTATGGGTAATATGTAGTAACACCCCACAGTATAAATTTTAGGTGTATACATTAAAATATTGTGCTTTTCTGGCCCACAAATCATTTATAATTAAGCAAATACCAAACAAATCCTCCCCTGATTTAGACCATATGGTTAAAGAGAAAAATGCATACATCAAAAAGATCTAATTAACAATGGCACTATTTTCAATACATTCTTCCAACAATTGTCTTTTCTTCACTGCCACCAGTTTTACCTCAAAATGTTTACAAGAAATACAGCACATGCCAAAATAGTTAGCTGTGAGTTGAACCCAGGACATCATACATACAAAGCATGCACCCTACCACTGAGGTAGCAACTCCTCCAAATGCCTTGATAGAGCCCAGACCCCTAAAAAAACGAAAGTGTTTCCTTCACCGCCGCCGCAGACACACAGGGCCACTAACTGCTGAGCTAACATATGCTAACTCAGGGTGATTACAAGTTGTAGGGCGACAGGGGATAGATGCTAACGTGATAAGCTCAGCATGCTCAGGATGTCATCAGAGGAGGCTCACACACACACACACACACACACACACACGACACGACACGACACGGCAAGACCTGAAGTGTCATTTCAGAACAATGACACAAAACTGAATCAAATGAATGTACTGATCATATCCTGAGGGTCCTTGCTATTCATTCAAACCGAGGAACCATGTCACGTCAAAACAGATATTCTTTGTGTTTGGGTATGTGCTGTCAATGTAACAAGATTAAGAGATTTAATTAAATCAAATACGCTTTTCTGTACTGTACACACTTTGTGTGCCTTGGCGCATGCAATACCGTGCAAGGGGGAAAGACATATTTTTGTTTTGTTTCAAAGACCGTCTTTAATATTGTAATATTGCAAACAGACATGGCAGTTTCACCTGAATGAACTCTCTTCAGCATTCAAGGCCTTTACAGTGACATTTTATATTAAGGCGCCAACAATATTAATAAATTAACAAACATACTGTTTCCTTCGGGGGGGAAGACAGAATCTATTCACATGCATGGAAAAACAGATGGCCAGCCTGTCCTCTACTTGTCAGGTCTATCCAAATGGAAAACACGGTTTTTGTTTCCTTTTATGTCTCTCTCTACCTCTTCTCCCTTAAAAAGTCTGGTAAAATATTAATTGTGGCTCTCATATGTCACTCACAGCCAAATGATAACACGGTATAATGAAGGGTTATAGGGTAGGATAATCGCTAAGAAACTCTGGGTTCATCAATCATTTAAGGGAATTCAGGAAGAACTGGAGATACCGGTGCAGGAACCTAGGCGTCACCCCGGTAACCTGTAAGTATATGTGAACGTGGATGTAATTTTACATATGTAAATATGCCGGGTTGAATGCCAATAAGTAGCAACACTTATATCACCGCCATGACAACACTCATATCACCGCCATCGCCATGACAACACTCATATCACCGCCATGACAACACTCATATCACCGCCATGTCAACACTTATATAACCGCCATGACAACACTTATATAACCGCCATGACAACACTTATATCACCGCCATGACAACACTTATATCACCGCCATGACAACACTCATATGACTTCCATGTCAACACTTATATAACCGCCATGACAACACTGACATATGACTTCCATGTCAACACTTATATCACCGCCATGACAACACTTATATCACCGCCATGTCAACACAACACTTATATCACCGCCATGACAACACTCATATGACTTCCATGTCAACACTTATATGACTTCCATGTCAACACTTATATAACCGCCATGACAACAACAACACTTATATAACCGCCATGACAACACTTATATCACCGCCATGACAACACTTATATCACCGCCATGACAACACTCATATGACTTCCATGTCAACACTTATATAACCGCCATGACAACACTCATATCACCGCCATGTCAACAATCATATGACTGCCATGTCAACACTTCATTACCATAGCAACTGTGATAATTTAAGCAACTTCCGACATTAAATAACACATTCAATAAAGACACTGAAAAGTGATTCTACCACACATGTTTTTTTCAACCCCCCCTCCCCCCAAATTATTGAGTCCATCCTATCCAGTTTGTCCACCAGGGACATTTCATGAAGACAAATGATTCTGTCATCCAGGTCCACGTTCCAGATGGACCCTCATTCAGAACATAGTCAAAGAATCACAATTGAAATGTACTCAGCTTGAGAGATCATAGTCTGAGTGACAGGCCTGACTGACATACTCACAGTCCCCCAGTCAACGTGACAGAAGCAGACTGACGTGACACAAGCTCAGGGTCCTTTTGACAGGTTGGACACCAAAGACATCACATTTGTGTTTGGAGAGCAAAACATACAACAATTCCGACCTATTGCCTGTCAACATGAAGACAAAACCTGGTTACAGGGGTGAGATGGGGTTAAATGTCTTGGATTGAAACCAAGGCCTGTAAGGTTGGTCTGTATTGTCCGGGGATTGGATAAATTAAATAGTCATTCTGATTTGTAAAAAAAAACGGGGCTCACGGAACCAGGTAATCTTCGACCACTGAACCCAGTTCCAGTTCGGGCGCGTGCACGCCCGTTGTAGGCACTTTCAATTGTGGACACGGGTCAGCGTCGTCGTTTCGGAGATACCCAGACCCAGTTATCTGGCCATGACAATTTGGCCCTTGCCTGAGGTATGTACCCCTGGCAATTTCTCCTGCATCCACTATGCTAAATAAACTCTTTACTTTGTGCTTACCATCTAATATAGCCAGACTTTGACATGTGTTCTTGTTAGGTCAGATCAGTGTAATTCCCGTCACCTGTGAGTGGACATGATTGCTTTGTGTTTTTCATGTATGCAATACCAGAACAATGTTTGATCAAGTGAATTTATATCGTGCAGCATGTGTGTGAGAAACATGTGTGACTCGGGATAGAAAACATTTTTCGGGTGTTAAGGGCTTTGCTCGAGGGCCCAAATGTAAGGGACTACCTTTATAGTTCTATAAATATACATATATATATAGAACTAGCAGATGTCCAGTCCAGTTGGCTCAGACTGATGAGAGGCCCCTCCCAAAGTCACACGGGCCCTTTTAGAGCCACTAATTGAGCCGTCTCACCACAACCTTGGCCAAATGCTCTGCTGTCGGATATGACAGTCAACTATAGTGATTCTATGGCCACTCAGAACCACCCGCCCCCCAGATATATAAAAGGTCTGATGTTGTGGGCAATGACAGATTCAAACAGGCCATAACACTGTCCCACTATATGTCAATGATTTAACGTCTCAGTGGATGTTTAGTGTAACATTTCACCGGACTTCGGTAACAAAACTCAATCTTCTCCGACTGTAGGATTACATCAATTCCTAGATTCCTGCACAGCAGTGGTGCATTTCCTTTCCTGTTCGCCCTTGAAAAGTACAGGGTTTTCTGGGTGGATGCGTGTGTGTGTTTAGAGTGGGTGTGCGCAGGTGTATGTGTTCGTATATGCGTGACTGCCTGTGTATGCGTTCGACCCCTGCGTCCTACAGCGTCTGAGAGACCAGCCTGGGTTGTGCATGTGTGGTATGTGTGTGTGTGCCCACTCCGTCTCTCACATCATTAAAAGACCATCGCAAAAACAAGGTGAAGTTAATCGCCAGCGTATTACCATAGACTAATTACAGGAGTGCGATAGGCAGTTAGGCTGAGGGGGAAATCGCTGCTGTAGGCTAATGTCATCAGCTCCTCTCAGAACCCAAAGTGTATCTGAATCCAAGGCAGACGGCAAGGAAAGCTAGGATTAGCATTTAGCCAAACCTGGAGAAAGGAGATACTAACATTCTCTGTTACTCAGAGTTTCCGTAAGCCTCTTAGCTAGGTCCCTGCTCCCTACAAATGTGGCTGTGGGTTACTTAAGCAAGGAAAGTGTGTGTGTAGTGGAATGGAAGACCTTTTATGAGGACCAGTAGAGGTAGCGGTCTGGAATCAGGCCGGAGTCCTGATAGAAGGCTGTATATTTGCGTAGGCAGTGAGGCCTTGACAATAACACGGACCAGACGTTCCAGTAAACTCAAAGGCATGGGCACCGAGAGTGGTGGGTCGTGTCTTATTAGGGTGAGTTGATAAAATTCAACAAAATATTACCACACTTCAGTGAGTCTGTAGTATGTGTTACAATTCCTATAAGAGGCTGAACATTTTAATATGCTTTATTATATGGTATCCATCCTGTTTACTGGACAATGGAGGTACAGTATCAATGTTGCCTGATTGCTTGCCAGTGAGAAAACGCTCATGTTCAGTAATGTTTAGTAACATGCAAATGTGATCATTTGGTCAGCATCAACAGTGATGTTCTTCCTTTGTATATCGTCTGACTGTTTTGGCACAATCAACAAATTGGTCATTTGGATTTGAGGTCAGTACCTCACATTTGTTAAAGCAGCATTTCATGGATTGTCCAGGTGCTGAAAGCAAACCTGATTTGTGTACAGACATGCATCTGCCTGTATGAAAAGAAAATCACAATAATTCAATCTGGTAGAACAGCAATTGCAGCTTTTGCTTCTAGAAGAATAAGTTTGGCTAAAAGCATATTTAAGATTTCAAATTTAAATTTGTGTCGGAAAAAATAAACATTCCATAACAATCATCCTAATTGTAAAACATTCTCACATACACATAGCATACACTAGGCTTTGGCATTAAGATAGGATTAGATACATTATTAAACTGCTTGCAAAATAGTGCAAACATCCATTTTCTTAGATGTAGTATATAATACTGACATAATATTTTGATAAATACTTCTCAAGTGTCCGGGAATATGAGGCGTGAGGAGAGTAGCAATCTCACCAAGACCTAGCTGGTTATATTAATAGTCTTATAGAATTTATAATCATACAGTATATAATAATCAGATGTCTTAAGGCGGGTTTATATAAGTACAGATAATTCCCACGACTAAACTATTCTTATGCGTCAGAACACGGAAAGGCCAATATGAACCACTTTAGATCCCGAAGCAACAAAAGCAAAGAATGTAAAACATAATTCCATGGGAACTAAATATACAGGATACAAGTGGGTACACCGAGAAGAAATGTGTCAGGGTTCGGCTCTCAAGCCGACAGGACACAAGCGCAGAGAACTTGTTTCTTACAATGGGTTTTATTCATCCAGGACAGGCAAGACAGGCAAGGGAAGAACTGGGAACTTGAATTAACAAAACACAAAATCAGACAGAGGAAACTCATACACAAGGAACATAAACCAGAACGTGCAAATAACCCGGTATACATAAAACCCAACCCAACAACAACAAAACTGAATGTTCACATTACCAAC